GAGGATGACATAAGATCACGAATGGGACAGAGTGCAGAGACGTGGGCTGCTACTGCTGGTTGTGTAAATGGGTCAGAGTCTGGAGGTGGCCCGGCCTGCATGTGTGGGCTGGGGGTGGCTCTGTAACAGAGTTCAGCCTTTCTCCTTCCCAAGGCTTCGTCTCCTGGCGGGATACCAAGAGCGGCTCCTGGTACGTCGAGACCCTGGATGGTGTTTTTGAGCAATGGGCTCACTCTGAAGACCTGCAGACCCTCCTACTCAGGGTGAGTGCTGAGGGGAAGGAGAGGAGAGGAGCAGTGTGTCCTCCTCAGGGCCAGGTGGGAGAGAGCAAGACCCCAAGCCCAAACCAGAGGTAAAAGATGGTAACCCTCCTTTGCTCTACACCTTGGCTTGCCGTGAGAGTTGGTACTCTTGCTTCTTTTAACGTGAGATGTTACTGCCTGCGGTGCCGTATGCCCCTTACTCAAAGGGCGACCTTCCTCGGCTCCCCTGAGGTCCCCAGGCTGACACCTCCCATTCCCCCCACTGACGGAGCTGGTCCTCAGCTCCAGGGTGGGATGGCTCAGTGGCCAGAGCATGGCACCTCCTGAGGGCAGGTTGTGGGGGCTATCCCTGCACCCTTAGCCCCAATGCGTAGTCATCTACTCTTGACCCTCAAGAATCGTGAATCTGTCTTAGTATACCCCCTTCTTGGGAGGCCCAATGAGAGGACAGGGAAGGAGGGCCAGATAGGGCCTCACTGAGTGAAGTCCCCCTCAGAGCAGTTGCTTTCTCCAAGGGTCCCCGAGCACACGTGGGCCCTTCCTGCTCTCCTCAGGTATTTCATGTCTGAGAAGGGGCTGTCAGGGCTGGGACCGCTCTCTCCCCTGAGGAGGCTCTGGCTCTGTGCTTTGCTGAGCGGAGTGGAGAAGAGCAGGCCCGCCACCTAGCACAACTCTAGGGGGCACCCTGTGCCGTGGCCCCTGGCAAGTGAACCTCAGAGGCAGCTGGGCCCTGCAGGGTAGGGGTGAGGGTGGGGGTCTGTCAGGGCTGAGCAGTGCACTCGGCTCCTGGGCCCCATCTCTGCTCAGCTTTTATTCAAGCAAACCTTTCGATATGATTTGAACTTGGTCGATTTTTGAATTGTGAAATTTTGAATTTTGAGTTTTTTAAGCTTACAGTTGAGATGTTTGTTCTCTAAACGTCCCACTCAAAGGGCTGCAGTAGGGCTGGATCAGTGGACATTCCCCCCAGCTCCTCTTTGGAATTCTTACGTCCATCAAGAGAGCTCACAGACCTCCCTCCCTGTGGTCATGTTTTCACAGGTCGCTAATGCTGTTTCGGTGAAAGGGATTTACAAACAGAGTCCTGGTTGTTTAAATTTCCTCCGGAAAAAACTTTTCTTTAAAACTTAATGAGGCCAGGGCCCCTCACCCTGCCTTACTTTTTACCCCACAAGCTTCCCACTCCAGGCCCGGCGGCGGCTGAAGCCTGGGCCTTCCTACAACTATAGCTGTCACGCTTTGAAGGGTTTTGTGGCCTGTAGAGAGTCTGCTCTTTCCCCACCGGTGGCAGACAGGCTCTTAGGAGCTTCCAAACTGGAGACAAGTGACCGGTGCTGGAGGAAGAGGAAGCGGAAGAATTCCATGGACACCATGTGGCTCTTCACCAGTGGCTGGTCCGTGGCTAGTGACCGTGGTCTGTGACCCCTGTATTTTCCCTAGAGCAGGGCTTCTCAGCTTCGGCACAGTTGATATTGGGGGCCAGATAATCCTTTGCTGTGGGGCTGTCCTGCGCACTGTAAGACGTTAGCGACTGCTCTGTTGTACCCACTAGATGCCAGCAGCACCTCCCTGAGTAGTGACAGCACTCTTCAGTGTGTCTTCACACATTGCCAAATGTCCCTTGCTGGGCCCCCACTTGAGAACCACTGATCTGTCGGCATTTTTGGCTATAAACCAACCAGCATCTCTCTTAGATCAGCAAGTTGGGCGTGACTAGAGTCTGAACAGCTGGAATCTGTGAATCCTAAGTGAAGTTTTCAAAATTATTAATCTTTCCTGTATTGCAGTATTCTTAAAAAAATAAATCTTAGGTGAATATGGACTCGCTTTTGCCTATTTCCCACCTCATTTTGCTCCCACTCTTTGTTCTTCCTTATAAAGGAGACTCTTGCTTTTCTTGAAACACTTCCCCATCTCTTATTTCATTTGACCCCCCCCCATCCCAGGAAGGCGACTGGGTGGGAACCATGTGCTCAGGGAGGTCAAGTCGCTTGTCCAGGGGAACACAGGTAACCAGTGGAGAGACCTACCCGGACCCAGGTCTTCTGAGTCCAGTCTGTGCCTCCAGGTGCCTTCCTGGCTGAAGGACCCCTGCACCTAGGGTGACCGTGCTGTGCGACAGGGAGCTGTTGGGCTTCCCCAGAGAAGGCTCCATCCCTGAGGTCTTTTAAGCTGTCCTGACCTCAGCCTGTTTCTTGCTTTTAGGGCCCTGGACATGAGGATGGTTTGGTACTGAGACTTGCACAAGATGTGATGCATGTCGTTGTGACTTTATTAGTAGTATTTTCCTTCTGTGACCTTTCCAAGTCTGAAGCAGTCCTGGGGACTTCTGGTGGTTAGTTATTTGCAATCACCTGCAGGACACACATAAGAAAATAATCAGGGTAACCTAGCAGAGCAGAGCTGTGCTTGGCAGTTCCCTGGCTTTCTCCTTCCGGGCTCTGTGCTGCTTCTGTGAATCAGAGGCTGCCGGCGATGATGCAGCTCTCGCCTGAGGATCTCCAATAACCTTCGGGAGAAAAAGATATTATCCCAGCTTTTCAGTGACCTGCTGGGGTCATCCTGTAAAGAGGGGTCTTAGCCTGGAGTCCTGTTTGGGTTTCAGGGTTGGGGGTGGTGTGAACTCCTAAAAATTATATGCCCAATATGGGAATGGGCATGTTTTTAGATTTCATTTGTTTCTCAAAGGGTTTGAGAGCCTCAAAATTGTTAACAACCACTGCTGTTTGCAAGGCCCAGTTATGCATTGTGGGTGGGGCTGTCACCTGTTTTCAGAGGCTGTGTAGCAGTTAAATATGATATATTTTAACACCCCAACTCTGTGATCCAGTGATGCTGCTGGATCTCTATAGCACAGATACTCAGAGCAACGTGCAAGAATGTGTGTCTAAGAATGTTTGTTGCAGCCATGTGAGAGTGGAAACTGGAATATTATTTAGCTGTTCAAAAGAATGCCATGGACATATGTGCTCACATGGAAAATGTGAGATGGTGTGAAATGAAAAAACTAAGCTGAATGGTAGGATGAGTAAAATCCTCTTTTTGGTTAGAAGACAGTGTGTACATATATAGGTATTTTATATATGCACATAAATAAAGTCCAGAAGACTACACACCAAGCTGTTAATAATTATCTCTGGGGGTGGAATTAGAGATGTAAAACAAGGAGGGACTTCTACTTTTTTACTTGATATACTCCTATATTCTTTTAATATTTTTCCAAAGAATATGTATTACCTTCTAAAATAAAAATAAAGCTGGTGAATGCTAAAGGTTCACGTGTTGCTGTCATTTAATGAACACTTGTTGAAAGGATGAACGCCCTTCGCCACCTGTCTCCTCCTGTCGCTTCCCTGCTCATGCCTTTGTTGGCAGCTGCCTTGTCACCTGTCTGGGTTTGTCTGGGCAGGTGCTCCCAAGCGCCTGTGTGTGACTCCAAGCTCCACGTGGCGTGACCTGGGCTGGGACCACTGCAAGGTTTCGCTGGCCCTTCTGCAGCTGCGGGGCAGCCTCCCCCAGAGGACAGCTGGTTGCTTGGCTGTGCCACTCCTGGAACCCGTTCCTGGGCATATGTGCCTGCCCTGGCTGCTGTCCTGTGAACGCAGGGCCTCTGCCCACCCGAAAGCCTTGCTTTCCCCATTGATCCCCTCTGACATCTGGCCGTGCTCGCAGCTGCGGCCTGCTCTGTTGTGCTTGAGTCTGCGGCTGGGAACAGCTGATGCTGGAACAAAAAATCAGGACGATTGCTCTGGCCCCTGCCTTGGAGACCCCAAGGTGCTGCCAGGACCAGCTGCACGGTGACTCACGCAGCAGCTGGGGCTGGAAAAGGATCCTGGGATTTGGCTGGGAAAAGAACCTCCAAGCAACCTTCCCTCCATTCAGTCTTGGGCCAGGCTCCTTTGAAATGCTGGTGGCACCTCAAAAGCTGGACTCGGATTTTCCTCTGCCAAAATGAATCACAGCTTTTCCCCAGTTGACCAAAAAACCCTATAAATTAATGGCCACTCTGTTCTTGATTTTACATTTTTCTCCAACAAACTTTTCTGGAACCTCTGGGGCCTGGCCTTTGCCAACCTCTGTTGGCAAAGTAATACCGACAGGCGGCCAGATGAACAAGGAGCCGGCAAGTATTAATGGGAAAACATGGAGGCAGCCACCTGCTTATTTTGACAGTACCCGTTTGACAGTGGTTTTTCTGTGACCATACGTCCACGGCTGTGGTTTCATATTTGATTTCATCATGGAGTGTTGGTTTGATTCAATTGAATCAAACTTAAAATTTGATTTTAAACTTAAAATTAATTTTAATTGCAAATTAAACTTAAAATAATGAAACCAGATACCAGCTTTCCCTTCTTTTGTGGCTCTGCCACAAACACCACACAAGTCCTGCAACTTGCTCTGGCTCCTAAAAATGTGGAGGAGTCCTGGTCGAGTTCAAGTCTCATTTTACAGAAGAGCAAACTGAGGCAGTGGCAATGCCGGAAGGTGGGTAAAAAAGTGCCCCCCCCGTCGGCATAGACTGCCCTTCTCTTCCCTCCTGGCATCCATGACCAGGTACAATAAGCAGAAAAAAACTACCCCACTAATCCTAAGGAACTGGCTCTTAATGCCTTTGTTTTCAGCCTCTTTGAACAAGGCCACCCTGTATGTGCCTTTTCACTCAACTTTACCCACACAGCAATTGTAGGGGCCTGTGGGGCGCCCAGCAGGGGTTGCCCAGGTCTGCAGCCTCCTCTAGGGGGGTGCTGCCTAGGTCTCAGGAGGAGAGTGGGCATTGCCCTCGTGGGACCAGGTGAGCAGGGCAGGCAGGGCCCATGGGGCCCAGGGCTTGTCTGATTCTTACCTGATTGATCCAGTCAATGTAGTTGAGACGCGTGTGAAGACAGAGGGCTTGTGGTAGTAGTTGCAGCCGAGGGAGGACCCGAAGCTGACTATGCCGTGCACTTGCCACTGGCCGTCAGCCTCCTGGCAGTTCAGTGGCCCGCTGGAGTCCCCCTGAGGAAGGCCAGAGTTCTGTCAGGAGGGACCTGGGAGCTTGGATGGCAGGGGCAGAGGCTGCCTATGAGAGCCCCATGTGTGCAGTGCAGTGGTATCGTTCCATCGTGGGTCGCCATGTTCTCTGAGGCCAGCTCTCGTGGTCACAGCTCAAGATGGTGCCATAATGCGGACAAGAGCTAACATTTATTCTTTCCATGCGCCTGGAACTGAGCCAAGCACTTTATATGTCTTATCTCACTTAATCCTCACAAAAACCTATGAGGTAAGTGTCCTTAGTGTCCCCATTTCACCGAAGAGGGAAAACTGAAGCCCTCAGGGGTTGTGACTTGCCCGAGGCTGTACGGGCAGTAAGTGAGGCTGAGACTGCATCCCAGAGTTAGAATGCCATGCACTTCACAACACCATCGGCCATTTCCTCCCACGATGAGGGAGTTTCCCCGCGGTGCAAGTCTGTGTGGGCAGAGAGTGTAGAGACCCAGTGTGATTTGAAGGACATGTGAAGCTCCTACTCTGTCCCCGCTCTGCTGCAAGGTCCACCACAGAGCAATTCCTTTTGGTTAAGCCACTGTCTCCAGGTAGGCTCTGTGGCAGCTACCACGAGGGGACATGCTGGGCGATCAGTGGAATTAATTCACCAGATAAACTCAAAGTCGCAGTAAAAAGGCCCTAACCCAGAGCATATGCCCCTGGGCTCCCTTCTGACACAGAGAAAGAACAGGAGAGATGACCGTACTGAGAGACCTCGAGGAGACCCAAGCAAGGACTTCCCAGCAGTGATGGGGGTGGACACTACAAGGAGAATCTCAAAACATCTTTTCTGGGTACTACAAGGACAAAGGTCAGGGTCTCAAATGTCTGGAGCTGTTTCCGGGTGCTTCTGCCAGCAGGTGGGAGAATGGACTCTAGGATCCTGAGCGCCTCTCCCCACCCCAGCCCCATTTTGTTGCAGAGGGGGCCGGGGGCGGGGCACCTGACTTTCTGCACTCACATTGTAGCTGGAGATTATGCCATCGCCCCCAGCACAGATCATATTGGTCTTCACGGTGCTGCCCCACCAGCCAGAGCTGGAGCATGTGGCATAGCCCACAACAGCAGCTCGCCCTGCTGCAGGATGTCAGGAAGACCCCCGTTGGCTGCATGAGACCAGAGAGAAGGTGTTATAGGGACAAAGGGACTCCTGCGAACAAAGGAATTGGTGAACACCTACTGGGTTTTATGCCCAGCCCCTTTCTTTCTGGTCCTTCTTACTTCTCTCCATCCGAAGGGTTGCTATGGGAGCGGCCATGTTTGTTTGTGCTGGACAGACATTGTCCAGTGTCCTCACCATTGATTGGTTAGTGTTATGGCCTCTGGTGATTGGTTCAGGGATGAACACCTGACTCAAGCTAAGCTAATGAGCTCCTTCTCCTGGGAAATAGGGATGAGGACCAAGAGATCTCTGCCAGAAAGGATGTAAACTTGGGAGCTGTTAGCAGTGGCTGCCGTTTTCTTTTAGGGAGAGAAGGATGAAATGGGTATGCCAAGAAAAGAAATTCTGAGAGAGTTTCCTGAGTTTCTTCAAGTTTTCTAGTCCCCGATTCTTTCCTGTTCCTGAAGCCTGGCTGTGTCTCTGGCCTTGGTTGAGACTCTTAAATCTTTATAACAAATTCCGTTTTTTGCTGAGCTAGCTCCATGGGTTTCCATCGCTTACCTTAAATATGATGGTGAGCCTGCTGGCATTTGGAACCCCCAGGATGGAAAAAATATTCTGATGTGGTGAAGGTAGAGCTTTCCTGATGCCCCCCAGTTACACTGCGACCATCATCTCCATTACTATTACTACTGCTACTAATGGCAAGGACTAGTAGTATTATAATTCTTCACTTCTGCTTTGTTAGGCTTTTCAAAATATGCTAATCCTCACAGTAAATATTCATTCCTAAATGGCAGATAGGATATTGAAGCCAAGACAAGTTAAGCAGCTTGCCCAAGACCACTTGGACCCTTCCTTGGCCCTACCTGCCTCAGATGCAATATTTCCTGTCTGGGTGTTTTCTGAAATGAACAAGTGGCGGTCCTTGTATCTTGATAAGCTTCTTCTCGCTTCTGATGAGTTTCCGTGTGTTCTTGTTTTTGCAGATAGATGGTCAAGAGGGCAATATTAATTTATTTGAGTGCATGTGTGTTGATGTAACTCTGGAAAAATATGTCATGTATACTTATAAGTTTATATCATTATGAAAAAAACAATCACTCATCTGCATGAGCCTTCCTCGAGTCTTCCAAACCTCTGATCCGTCTACGCTGTCCTGCCTCTCCAAGGAGCCACCATTTCATCCAAACACCCTGAGATGATGAGTGGGGAAAGAGCCCCCTGGCTGGACGGGGGTGACAGCACCTCCCTCCCCTCCCTGCTGCTCCCGGCGCCCACATACTCTGCAGCCTTCCCCAGCCCGTGACATAGCAGACGTAGTTGTTGGGTAGAATGCTGCTGGCTGGCGGGAGGCAGCCCAGCCGGATCTTGTCAGTTAAGGAGACGGAGTTGGCCAGTTTGAGCAGAGCAGTGTTGTTCCTGGGTTGGTAAAGAGGCAGAGCATAAAGAGAGGGTTGACTGTTCCTGCCCCAATTTCATTTCTGATTCTAGCCCTAGCTGGAACCATTGAACCCCAACCTTGGCTAGCCCGATTGTGAATCTTCCTTCTGTCGGGGCTGTGATGGATTGGGGAGCAGCTGTGGTTAAACCCAGGATTGCATTTGTCCCTCGTGGAGCTTGGAGCCCTAAATTCCCCTAAGCCCTTTCAGGGGAGTGTTCAGAAGAGGGCGGGCAAATAGGTTTTGTCTTGCAGCGTCCACTCTGATGGATTAGCCGTGGCTGCCTGGTGGGCTGTGTTGACAAGGATGCTGAGACTCTGTCCAGGGTCAGCAAGGAAACACATCCATGGTTGCTTGGTGACATCTGTCCTGTCATACACTTCCTGTGTTTGGTTTAGAAAATGGCAAGAGGTGCTCAGGTCAGAGGCCTTTCTGCCTTTTACTCTTAGCTCTCCCTTCCACCTTGAGCTCTGCCGCCAGATTCATCCCTTTGTCTCACTCTCTTGTCAAGGAAACCGTTAGTGATTGGCAGATTGTATTTTCCACGATGGCTGCAATGAGATCTCCCATCGTATAGGTTCTCGTTACGATGTGATGTTGACACTCCATTCACCGAGAAGTAGGATCTGAGTTTCTTCCATCTGGATTGGGGAGTTGGGGTTGAGGGCCTGTGATATGGTGGAAGTGACACTATGTGACTTCTGAGACTAGGCCACGAGAGAAGATATAGCTTCTGTCTGGTTGTCCAGGACTCCTGTTCTTGGAACTCAGCCTCTGTGCCATGAAGAAGCCCAGGCCACACAGAGAGGCCACATGTGGATGGTCTGGACAAGAGTCCCAGCTGACAGCCAGCATCAGCCCCTTGTAGGTGACGGAGGAAGCCTTCGAGATGCTGCAGCCCTGGCCACTGTCTGTCTGCAAGCCCATGAGAGACTCTGAGTGAGAAGTGCCCAGCGGAGCCCAGTCAGACCCAAGAGATCATTACTATCCGTGATTGTGGCTCTTTTAAGCCATTATGTTTCTGAGCGATTTGTTATAAAGCGACAGATCACCCGAAGAGTGACGCCCATTGATAGGACAGATATTAAAGGTCCTTAGGGCCGACAGCCTGCTCAGTTCTAACACACTTTCTTAGCCATCTCTCCCATAATTCCTCTTCACTATGCTCCCTTCCTGCTGGACAGCTCTGGTCACTGCCCCAGCACCATCTGCCCATTCTGTGACTGTCCCTTGTCCTGGCACTTCCCCTGACTTGAAAAGCCCCGTCTCCACTCTCTGCCCACCATGTCCTCCCCATCTCTCAAGGCCTTCCTTGACGCATCCTGTGTCGTTTTATGGCTTTCTGGTGTCTTGGGTGTGTGCCTCACCCAGTTGTCAAGCCCTTTGAGGGCAGGGACCGACTCACAACTGAGGGACCCTCTGCATCCTCTGTGAGCCATCATCAGCGCCGGACCACAGCAGGCTGACTGGATGAGGGAACGCCGAGGGTTATGACCACAGGGCGTCCTCCTGCTCTCCAGGGGCTGTGATGAGGAGTCTTCTGGAAGATCTGGCAGAGTGAGCTCTCTGGGCAGCTGTTCATGAGTGGCATCTGGGGCTGCAGAAGAGGCCATGCACGTGGATAAATTACGCACATTTGAAGTGAAGGCTGGGGTGCTTCTTTCTAGAGACACTTCTGGAACTGCAGATTGGGAGAGGATTGAGAGAGGAGAGGATGACAGACACCTCTGGTTCTGGAAAGATGATGGGGAAGCAGGGAAAAGGATGATAACTTTCTCTCTCCAGGGGGAGATGATAAAAGTGTGTTGAAGGCCTGCTAGGATCAGGCTCTCTGCTAAGTCCACCCTACCTCATTGAATGCTCCTTTCTAAATCTGTAACTTCATGGGTCATGGCTTCCTCATCTGTGAAATGGGGGTAATAATAGTACCTCACTCCTAGGGCTGTTGTGAGGAATAAATAAAGATCATCCATGGGAAGTGGATTTAGCACAGTGTCTGGCATGAGGCAAACACTAAGTGCTCGTTTGCATGATCGTGAAAACTCACTCCTGGGGTTGGCAGAGAGCTCACTGGGAAGGCATCCCAGATTGTGAGTTTCTGGAGGGTTGGTGGTCCCCAACATTCCTGCCTGTCCTAATGGAAGACTGTGTTGCTGGGCAGAGCCACCATTGGTCACTGGAGTGCCTATGCTTGTGGGGTTAGAAAGGGGAGCTCCCTGACCTGCAATGAGCTGCTCAGGCTTAGGGGTTACCCTAAACTTCACAGGGCCTGGGGCCTTGTGTGTCTCACAGCTGTTTCCCTGATGCCTAGAACAGGGCCTGGCACATAGTAGGTACTCAACAGATATTTGTGGAATGAGGACGTATGTGAGCCTATGGCTCTGAATTTTGTTTAGTGCCACCTGGATCTCAGGATCAGTGATCATGAAAGAAGCCTACTTGTCCAGCAAATATCCCGTAGCTCTACTATGCGCCTTCTCCCTGGGTGAGGGGCTAGAGATTCAGGGGTGAATCCAGTACAGCCCAGCCCTTGCAAAATTCCATCTAGAAGGAGAATCAGACGTGAGCTAATCTCTAATGCAGTGAGCCAAGTACCTCGACTGGGCCTGCACCTCGAGAGTGGGGATGGGCAGGAGTGAGGGGTAGATTCTGCCAGAATTCTGATGGGCAGGACCTTCTCTTCCTCTTCTTCCTCTCCCTCCTTTCCCCCACTTCCTGGGACCACTCCCCATCACCTCGAGGGTTCAACATACAGCCCAGCAGTTACACTTCTTTATTGCACTATTATTGCACTACTCCTATGACCAAGAGCTCACACATGTGGCTTCTGTTATGTGCCAGGCCCTTTTCTAAGTGCTTCCCACACATTATCTCATTTAATCCTCACAGCAACCCCAGAGGTAGGACTGTAATTATCCTCATTTCACTGAAGGGAAACTGAGGCACAGGAAGCCTAAGGAACTCATGCAGGACCACACAGTCATTCATCATATCTAAGCCATCGGGCTCCAGAGCTCAAGCCCTAACCACTACCCTGCACTGCCTCAGTCTCAGGCTTATGGCCAGGAGCTCCCTGACAGGTGGCATGGTGAACTGCGCATCTCTGTGTGTCTAGCACCCAGAGTCCAGTGCCCAGCATGGCGTATGGTACACAGCGGGTGCTCAGTAAAGGCTCGGGGTGAACATAGGATGGTCCGTGCTCATCTAAGAGGAAAGGTGGGCAGGGGAGGTGCCATGTCCCTGCGGGGCGGGGCAGAACAATGGCTGGGAGGCTTTGGAGAGCTCTGAGACCCTTGTCCTTGTCATCTTCCTGTGCACATTACCCCCAGGCTGTCCCTGCAGGGTGTCAGTGCTTCTTTGAGAATGTAAAAGGCCTTGTTGGGAGGGGTTGCAGGGTGGGGGAAGGCAGGAGGGACCGTCCTACTCCACTAACAGTCCTGGGTCCTGCAGGCCCATCGCTGTGTCCCCAGGGCTTGGCACGGAATCGATACATGGTCAGTGAGTGCCTGGGGTGGACAGGGAACCTGCAGGCTTAACTGAAAGGAGACCTAGGTTGCTCTGACAGTCTTTGGCTCTCCCTCCCCCAGTGCACAACCCACCCCAGGCATCTTGGGGCCGGCTCCACTGCTAAGAGGGCAGAGCTCTCTCCTCCTCCTTACGGAAGGAGCAAGGAGGTGTGGGGTTGTGCCCACTGCCTTCTGCGAGACCCCCCCACTGTCTATGCTTCCACCCACCCTACCCCCAAGTGCACCCCGACAGAAGGCACCCTTTGGAGAGTTGGCTGGAGTTCCATTCCTTGTGTACCACGAACTTGGAGACGGCGACGGCCAGTGAGTCCGACTCCACAGTGGAGAGGCTGTGCCTGCCCAGCACCACGCGATCTGTCCTGGAGGAGCAAGGAGAAGGGGGCCCAGCACAGAGGGTCAGCTCTGGGCTGTCCTTTCCTTTCTCTGGCCCCTACGGGCAGGGACACCCCAATGCACTGTCTCCAGAGGCCTGGCTTTGGATAATGCTGCGATGGGCCCAAGTAAGCGACTGCTCCGCCAGCCACTAGAGGGCGCTTGGGAATCTTCTTCCCCCCGGGGCACTCAGTTAGTTATAATACAGCATAACTGTAACTATGTAATAATTCTAACGATACTATACTGACTATAAACTATAATATACAATAAAAGTTAGAATACTATAATCTCTATATAATTATTGGGGAAATGAGATGGACACAGAGAGAACAGCAGTCATTTGCCCTCAAGGGCATTTCTTAGTTTAATCCCCTACCTCTCCTTTTTAGGTGGGGAAACTGAGGCTCAGGGAGAAGTAACTGGTCCAGGGTCTTACAGCTGGTTAGTGAGAATCTAGGGCTAGAAGCCAGGACTCCTGACTCCCACGCCTCTATCATCCTCCCTGCACCTCATGGGGCTTATAAATGAGGTGGGGAGAGGGCCCATTCCCGCAGAGCCACCCCGACCAGGGGAAACTCCAGCATGCTCCAGCTGCTGTGAGGTCAGCAGAGGTCTAGGGAGGGAAGAGGACAGTGAGCATCAAATGTCGGAGAACATTTTCTTTCCCTTGTGGGCCTTTGTGCTGGTAAGAGTTCACTTTTATTGAGCACCTACTGAGTGCCAGGCCCTTAACACATCATCTCATTTAATCCACACTAAATTCTGTTATCTGCTTTTTTGCAGGTGATGCTATTGAGGCTTGGATAAATCATTTAAGTTGCTCAAGGGAACCCGATTCCGAATCTGGAGGCCACATGTAGTATCCCCAAGAGGGCAGGAAATGGGCCTCCCCCTCCCCCATATTCCTCCTCAGTGCCCTGCATGGGGCACTTAATCTACGTCATGTCATGACAAACAGGCCGAAGATCGACCAAAGCTTGTTTCTGGGCCAGGCAAGTGGTTATTTGCAAGGCTTCTTTATAGCGGATGTTCAGGCCATTTGGGCTTCACCTCTTGGAGATGAGTGCTGGCCGGTGGG